ATTGCAACAATGGTTCGATCCAACATGGTTTATACCAAACCATTCATATTTAAGCAAATATATCAATGTACATCGTGCTGAATATCCCGATCGAGGTTACGAATCAATGATTCTCATGGGAGATTTTAACTACACTGCCGAGTTTCCAAAGTTAATAAATCTATCGGAAAAATTTGCAAATTTATCAACAATACAAAGTATAAATGCATGGCCTATTGATTTTACAAAATTTGTTTTAGAATATTTTCAAAAAGGTAACATATAATAATATTAATAACATTTTTAAAGATCTTGATATTCGATATTAATAAGTTAATAAGTAATTATAAAATTAAATTAATAATAACATTTTTTTAATTAATAGATTTAAGAAACGTAATACTGGAGGATACAGAATTTCAGAATTATTTATCCAAGTTCTTATTTAGCCGAAATGGAGGCAAATATCAACGGAACTTTCGTTTTAAAAAGAGTTTAACATGTGGTCAAAATACCGCACCTATTACAGTAGCCACTATAGATTTTATCTTTAAACGATTTTATGGTCCCCATCAGTGGATTCCAGCAATGGATGAAAGTAAACAGGTGGCACGTGAAGTTGGAATCAATGGTTTTGTTACAGTCTGGAGCGAAATTTTCAGTTTGTGGGTCACGGACAAATTGATCGCCCAAGAAGTTCAACGCAATGTTTTGTTAGCTTTAATTTGTGTTATGGGAATGACAGGGTTGTTGATTGCTGAGTTACAAACGTGCTTTTGGATCTTTTTAAGCGTACTCCTCACACTTTTGAATGTTTGTGGATTTATGTATTTCTGGAATTTAACAATAGATATTGTATCTTGTATTGGTGAGTTTATTATTTCTATGAAATAAATTGTTGATAAATTTTGACAAATTTGTCAACATTACAACATTTTATTGTATAACTTCTTTTCCTAGGTTTGGAATTGGGCATAGGATTGTGCGTGGATTATGCTGCTCACGTTGCACATGCATTTATAAACGCTGCATGTATAGATGGAAGTGAAGATCGTACTAAAAGAGCGCATATCGCAGTAAGATATATTGGTGCAGCAGTTGCATATGGAGCTGGTTCAACATTACTTGCGCTTTCTATGATGGCATTCTCAGAAAGTTATGTTTTCCATGCGTTTTTGAAAATTTTCGTTTTAGTAATATTATTTGGCCTTTGGCATGGATTATTTCTTTTGCCCGTTATATTAAGTACTATTGGTCCACGAAGTCTACGATCACACAAAACTCCAGAATCTCTTGAGAAAATGGAAGATACAGATGATACTGTCATCAATCCTTTAAATAAAGAATTAAATACAGAGAGCTAAACAAAATATCGAAAATGATTCTTTATCAATAATATTTATTTTTGGTTCAATAAACATACAAAATTATTACACTATCCGTACTATTAATCACACATTTATACAAAAATAATAATAATAAAGATCGGATAACTTAAAAACGGCATTATTTATATATATATTTTTTTTATCTAATATATTAAGATTAAAAAAACAAGTACAAAATAATGTAGCAAGGTTGATATAGATTTATTAATAATAATTATTGATCGGAAAGGAACATGACTATTATAAACGTAACGTAATTGTGTTTGCTGGATGCATTATCTTTTTTTTTTTTTTTGTTTTATATGTTTAATCATAATTAATGTTTATGACGTAAAAATGAGCGGCGAGGGAGCGACCCTGGATTGATTGGCAAGCTCCCTCCGCTGCCTCTCTCAGTCTTGCACAGTCCACAAACACTCATGCAAATCTTTCATTCGAATAATCTGACATTCATCAATCTTCTTTATTTGTCATCTCCCTATGTATCATGACCTCGTTCCCTCCTTTTGTCGAGGCCATGTTTGACATTAATTTAAACTCACCTCTCGAGCAGAGACAAGACAAACAAGAAGACTCAAATATATGCTCATACGTACACGATCATCCTTCGACAGAGGCATTCGATTTGAGGCGTACGTTCTCTCTTCAGATACGATTCAGCACACACGGTAGTAGACTGCCGGGGCAGCAAGCCACGCACGAACGATACGGCGATACACATCTCCTTAGTTCGAATTTTACAAATCGGGATCGTACATTCCATAATTAATGAGGAACCATCGATACAATAATAATATTTACTTAGCAAAACGTGCCGATCGGTAGTGTGACGAAGGACGCGTGATGTGTGAGCACAGTAAACGCGTTATGAAAAAGGGAGGGGAATTTGATGATAATAACGATGATATTGGTGGTGGAAGGGGTGATAACTTGGCGCAGGAGGACGTTGGTAGAAGGGAGAGGCGGGATCTCCTTCGTTTCTGGAATAACCGGGGAAGAAGGAGGTTGATTGAACATTTCATGGAAATTGCACGTCTGCTTGCCAGGAGTTTCAAGGTACACGCACTTTATAGGGATACACCATGGGAAAGACACTCAGGGCAGACACTGACATAGAGACTAGGCTACCGACTATATGTATATCTTATCTAAATGTGTAACTAGCGTACGCATCGCGTACACCCGGTACGCCCGCACTCCGCCCGTTTTTCGGGTTATTTTTTTGTTATTATTTCTTTTGTGATTTAATAAATAAGCACGTGTATATATTCATTACACGCACTCCTGTCCCTCATTTTCTATTTGTTTTTCTCTCTCTTCTCTCGCTCTCTCCTTCCCACTCGTTTATTTCAATTTTCCTTTTTTCTTCTCCCCTTTTTTTTCTTCTTTTTTATTTTTTAATTATTATTATCATCGTTTTATTACAATCAGCGATCGCGTCGTAGTCGTGCTTTTATAATAAACGCTATGTAGTCTTTATTACTCAAGCTTATGCCCAAAAATCTACCAGAGGCACTTTGGGTTTATTAGTACCATTTGAAGTCGGCGTGCGCGGGGGAGGGCGCTACGAGTCCTTTGTCTTTTTTTATTTATTTTTTTTTTTTATTTATCTT